CCGGTGCGTTCCAGACGCCGCACACCTGCGCGCTTCCACCAGCCACGATCCTGCTCTCAATTACTGGCGCAACTGTCAGCCGCTCCCCTTCTCCCGCCGAACCCCCACCCACCGCTCCCTTGATGGGGGGGATGAATATTTCATACGGCAGCACAAAGGCACTTGAATAATGTATGGGGCAGCCTGGAGAGGGAGCAGGCAGCATGCGGAAAGAGGAGCCGAGAGCAGGCAGGCGCCTCCTCCTCCTGGCCCTCGTTAGCCCACAGTCATACGCCCCTCGAAACACCCGCCCCCCACAACGTTTCGTCTCGATTTAGAACTTGCCGGAAAAGTTTCCTCCAGCGTGAAAGTTCTCCATGCAGCGGGTGCATTAAATGGGGGGGAGGGGGGGCGGCGCATCTGTCCAGCTGGCTGGGAAACTAGCTGAATGCAGAATGGGTCTAGAAGTGCCCCAGAACTCGGCTGTTCTATGCTCTCCCTGCCAGCGCGAAGCCTCGCCGCCCGAGTGCCTCATCTCCTTTCTGGAGAGCAGTCTGCCATGCCGGGGTACATCTACACTCTGCCACGTCCAGGGAATGCGTTTGGTCTTCTGCGTTATTTTGCGGAAGAGCAAACGCGCTCTTTCAGAAGCTCTGTCTTCCTTGTTCTGCAAGGAAGAAGGGATCTTCCGAAAGAGGAGGATTTTCCAAAATTTGGCCCGGTGTAGATGGGCCAAATTTCGGAGAAGCCTCTTCCGAAAGAAAAATCGGAAAAAGGTGTAGTGTAGACCTAGCCCAGATCTAGACAGGATTCTTCCCTGCATCATTATCTTGTCTACATTGGGCAAGGCACCCTGCTTGGATCCGGTTCTCCGTTACACCCTTTACGCCAGAGCCCCGGCTTGCCTGGATCTGGCCCCCGAGGTTTAGGGCTCCCACCCCCACATGGGCGCTCCAGCCCCTCTGTCCACCCACCATGGGGTTGGGGCACACAAAATCTACCTGCCTGGGCTCCCCATGCTCTGGCACGCATGGGGAACGTTGTGGGAAGTGTCTTTTTCTTCTCCAGTCGGGGGTCACATCAGCGAGGGCTTGTTGGTTTTTTTTGCTTCTCACTTATGTGCGGCCCCTGGATGATTTTTTAGTGGGTCAGCAGCCCCCCACCCAAAAAAGATTCCTCGCCCCTGGTTTATGCCACCCTGGCAGTACAAAGGGGTCTTGAGTTAAGTGGACAGAGTCCGTCAGGGAATAGCCCTTCAGCACCGGGGGACGGAGCAGCACAACCCCTTTCACACACATTTAAGCTTCTGCCTGAGTTTGCGGCAAGCCAGCTTGTCTCTATAAAGGAGGTTCAAAGATTTGCAACAACTCTCCTTCCTTTGCGCTTCTCTTTGTCAGGCTCTGCCCTGTAGTACCGCCCAGCGGGGCTCGGCTTCTAACAGACGTTCATTTAATTAAGCTGTATCAACGCTCCCCCCAAGGGAAGCCTTAACATGACCATGAAAGAATGGGAAAGAGAAGGAGCGAAGTGCTTGGTCATACAGAGCAAGACCTGGAGTCACCTGCTCTAACCGCTAGGTAACACTCCTTACAGCAGCCATCTCCAGATGCCCTTGCCATGACAGCTGTCTGTGTCTTTCTCCCTTCCGGGCCTGATTTTTACCGGCATTCGTGTGTGTGGGGAGGATAAATAATTAAAGAGGCACCTTATCCTCCCCCTGACGGCTGTTTGTTACCTGTTGCCATGGGCGCAAATAGCCTCGCTAGCGACTCCCTCGCCAGCAGCCCCATTGCTAACATTTACCGGCTGCTGGAGAAACAAGCCGGGCTCCTTGCAGGAGTTCTCCATGCCAGTAACCAAGTGGAAGAGTTGATCAGTAGCCAAGCAACCTGGATCTCAGAGGCAGGCGTGTGTACAGAGCGGGGAGGGGGTCCGAGGTGGCGGCAGAAGCCGCGGCGTCAAGCCCCTCTCCCCGGAGAAGGAAGCAGGAATCCGGCGAGCCACCCAACGTGTACACACAGCAGTGGCCTGTGCCAGAGTGCGCCCTGCGCCGATACAACATTCTGCATCCACATTGGCAGCCACAAACGTGGGCCGCGGCGATAAAGCCGATATCCACGGATTGGCTGGGGCACTAGGACACCCCCCCCCCCCCCGAGTCACTGTTACTGCCATCTATGTGGGGGAGGTGGGTGGCGTACAGGGCCTGGAGTCGGGGACCAGACCTCTGAGGTGTCTGGCGCTGTTCGGACATGGAACAAAGGGTTAGTGGGCCAGGACTGGGGGGAGAAGATGTGGGATTCCTCTATTCTGGGAACACAGGCTGCTTTGCCTCCTAGGCCTGGCGTCAGCCGGGCCCCTCACAGCTCCAAAGCCAAAACCGGTCAGTGGATGCTGTGAAATGGGGTCAGCAAGTGGAGCATAGAATTATGGCAGGGGGAGCCTGGCCTGCTTTGGCCAGGCCTCCTACTGCTCACCCTGGCTGTGGCTTTGCCCCCAAAGGGCCGACGTGCAGGCTCCAGCCAGGCGGCAGGGGACTGATTAGGGTACCGGTGGCTATTCTGCAGCAGCACAAAGGGAAGCGCTAATCTGTGATTATAAAAGGTCCTTGAGGTTCCCGGCCCTTTGCTGAGCCCCTTTAATTAGCCCCCAGCAGTGGCAATGGGAGCCCCTCCCCCCACCATGGCTTGGGGCTCATTCTGGGATTCCCCATGTCCAGGATGTCCTTTGGTTTCCTGTTGCTCAGGCAGCAAGGGGCCAGTTACTCC